CATTAGCTATGAGACTTCTTGTATCAATTCTAGCATTTCTTTAACAAGAGCTGGGCAAGCTAAAGTCCCTGTATGTTCCAAACAGAAATATTTGCCTTCCAGATCTAGGGTTTCTGTCATTCCCTTTCTCTCCTCTGGTCCTTGCATCTAAACTCCCACCCTCACACAATGTTTCACAGAGGGAGAAAGAAGACAGCTGCGATATAAGAAGTAAAAAGATTTGGAGGACTGTTAATTTGGTCTTTTACTACATGTAACAATAATTGTAACACCACTTTTATACTCATGTAACAGTATTGAATTATTAAGGTAATTTAGTTCTTTGTATTTTCTTCTTGATTTGATTCACTAGATTTCATGTGAGGTGGATTTTAGTGGGTTTTTTTGTTTTTAATTTTCACAGTGCTGGTGACTGCAGATACCACAGATGTGTGCTATATCTGCTTTCTTCTAGCATCTTTTAACTGGCACAGTTTTCTGGTTTGGGGTGTCTCTCCTGTGTTTTGATTGCTCCTCTTGAAGTCTATATTTTATTTTTCAAATTAATTTACTATTTTGCTTTTATGCTCTAAATTTAACAGTATTTCAGTTTCTCCATCTATTGCAGATTATCTCCTAGAACTATTTTCACATCCTCAGGAGGGTGTCCCTTTTTGGTGCAGTGGTGCCATCCAGTCTCAAGGGTTTGGAGTCTCCAGAGATGTCAATATGCTGGGATGGGTGGGACTGCAGGGGTCAAAGAACAGAGAAACCCTGGTGTGGATGATGGACCCACTTCTGGCACCATCTCTGATATGCTGCTTTCTCTCTGATTTCCTCTATTAGCTTCCTTTAGATCAATTAATAAGTCCTACTGAAGGATAACTGAATGCATTTGATTGATAAAAGCACTCTGCACCTCGAGAGCCCATCAGAACTGTCATAACTCAGTTTCAGAGTAATTCTTCACTTTGAACACTGAAACCTTTTAGAGTCTTAGTCACTCCTGTTTCTTTGGCTCCTAGACACAGAACTTGTGGCCCTTTGTGTCTCACAGGGCTCTCTCCTGAGTCATTCCCCATTTGTTCAGCTTTCCCTGGTTTCAGTTTGAGCAGAGCAGGAGAATGCAGGCTCTGATGTGCAAATTGCCCGTACAGAGATGAATTCCAGTGGTGTTTAGGGTTCAGCATTTAAGTTCTGACAGATGTGATCAGATATTACGTTTCAAAGTGATACTGGCATTATTTTGTTTTCTGCTTTAGAGTTTGTTGTGACAAAGCATTAGGTGGGTACATTTTTTGTACATTCTTTTTAGAACTAAGGCTTGATTAATTTGATTTTTTTTAAGTCATGAAAGTGAAGGGATTATTTTATATTTCAAAGTTTCTTGTATCAAGTAAATAACACATGATTTTTGCTAATAACACACTAGTAACTTGAAAATGCTTCCATATGTTTTTCAATATATGCATTAGTAGTTGTGCATAGTGATTTCAAGCTGCAAAAACATTTAGAAAATGTGAATAACAAGGTCACACTTAAAGAATTAATTTAGAAGTTGCTGCCAAGGGAGCCTGTGTGGTTTTTGGAGAGATGACTATCTGTAGTGTGTTGTTCTGGAAGTGTTTCGTGTTGTCTCTGCAGTTGTGCAGGTGACACAGGGCTGCCTCTGATAACAATTTCAGCTCCCCCCAGTCTGGCTGGGAAGCCAACACCTGTAAATGACATTGTTTTGATGCATTGGCTGCATTTTCAGTTTGTTGCTAAATTATACTGATTTATTCATTTGAATCTGAAGAATAATAGAAAATCTCCAACGAGTCCTATATCTGTAGCACAACTTTGTTTATATATCATAATGCAATCAAAGCTTCAAAAGTGTTATTGGATTAGATACAATTTTCCCTGGCACAAAAATGGCTAAGGGGTAGCTTCTTGAATAATCGACATCCAGAACTCTATTGCTTGTTTATACAAAACTGCCTCTCTAAATGCAAAAAAAATGTTTTTCCTATTTTTAATTAAGCTTTTGGTTTTAATAATAGATAAATATATGCAAAGGCGTTCAAGTAAGTTCAGAACAAGAAGTCTGTTATTTTAAAAACATGAAGTTTTCTCTTTTTTAATTTTTAATTCTTATCATTTCTTACTAGAATTTTTAAGTTTAATTATTCCATGGTGAAGCCCAGCTACTGTTCAGGTAGCACTAATAAAGCAAAATCTCTGCATTAAAACTGGCGATGTCTAGAATGTTTTCTTTGCAAATATCAACAACTTAAGAAAGAGCTACCATCAGCTAAGGCTGAATCAAAATAAACACTAAATATTTATGGTTTCCCTTCCTTCTGCCTTAATGAATATCTTCCTAGGACTTGGTATTTTCTTCCCCTGCCCAGCTCTTGTTTGCCAGGGGCAGGAAAGGGACTCTCACATCTGAGAAGGAAGGAGGTTTTTTTTTTTTCCAATAGGGGGGAATCGTGGTGGCCAGAGGGTCTGACCTCCTTGTTTGTTTTGTCCTGAGCAATCTACATGTAGATTGCTGTCTCATTGTACATTTTGTTATCAGTATTGTTGCTATTCCTATTCCCTTTCTTTTCTCCATGCTGTTTCCAGTAAATGGCTCTTATCTCTACCTGTGATCTTTGCCTTTTGTGTTTCTAACGGGAGAGGGAATAGGGGAAGCACTGAACTGGGAAATAACCTTCCTAAACCGTGATACTTCTAAAAGCACAGAAATAAAAATTTTAGGTTCTATGATTTTTAAGGCTAAGAAAGTGAATAAACAAAATCACATCTAAATGATTCTGTATGTAAGTTTCATTTTTTGTGCAAGACTCTTTCTAGTTAGGGATGCCACAGATAATTCTGATTTATCAGAAGAGAAGCACTAGAATGACCCTATAGGAACTTCAGGGAACCCTGCTTATACTGAATCATTGTAAATACATTGCCATTGACTTCACCAAACACAAAATTTAACTCCCTGTGTGCTATTAACTGACTTTTTATTCTGCCTTCTTTATAGAATGCAGTAGTGATATAGGAATATATTATTTAAAATGTTGGGGGTTCTTAAGGTATATTTTTGACAACTAGAGTTATATTTTCAGAGGCAATTCAGTTGCCTGTATCTGGCTTATTTTTTGCAATGCATTTAGAAAAGGGATCAGGGATTTAAAATAAGCATCTTGCTTTTTCGGTGCCTCGGTAAGTAATGGTTCTCTGGGAAATGATCAGTTATAAATGGATAAAAAGATAAAGGAAAAGCCAGTTTGCATGTTGATAATGAATCTGTAAAGCTGGTAATACCCAGTAGTAGTCAAAATATGCAGCATTTTAAGAAGTCTTTTAGTGTGTGAGTTCTGGTGTTAAAATGAACCATGTCTTAATATTCCTTGGTGGAAATGCAGGTGCCTGCCTGCTGGTTCACAAAAGTTATACAAGGCCTCCCCCTCTCTTGTTCTCCTGGGTCACTTTTCTCCCTACAGCAGGTAATGTCTGCTTGGAAAGTATGTTTACAGTGAGAGGGCCGGGGAGTGTGGGTATTATCATTTACAGCTAGCATAGGAATGTTGCTTTGTTGGAGATGTAACCAGTAAAATCTGTTTCTGAAGCTGGAATGCTGCAGGACAGATGTGATGGATGCGAATGGCTGCTGCTGCAATCTGTGCAGAAGCAGCTGCCCCGAATTCTGCTGTTCCCAGGATATTTTAAATCTTGCATTCTTTTATTTTCCTGTATTTTTCCCTGGCAGTCACAGATTTATCAGTATCAGGAAACACTGAAAATAGTGGCCTTGAAGGAGCAAATAGCATTTTTAGTAACCATATCATGCCTGGAAGATCACTCAAAAATCAGCTATAATGAGCCATCCTGTACTGCAATAAATACGATGACATATATTAATGAGACAAGAATATGACTTCACTAACACTTTTTTAGACTGTTTTAGACCTAAACAAAATCAAATAATATCTCTAAACTTCCAACTGATTTTTTTCAACAGTCCCAAAGACTGAATGTTTTTAGAAACCAACTCTATGTTTATAAAAGATATTGAAATGTGAATGAAATTCTGGTTGATTTGATTACACAGTGCTAACTGAAGGTTGGCAATGATATATCAATTTTGGAGTATGGGAATCATGTGTAAACATTTGCTGATATAGTAAGGCAAGAAAAATAAGAACAAGAGTGCCTAGAATTTTTTTATTCCAACTTAGTTGGAAAGATTCCAACAGAAATCAAGATACCCTGATGCTTTTGCATAAAACACCTGGACTCATGGCAATTAAAAACATATAAAAATACCTTGAGGAATACACATTGAATTCAGGAACATCTGAATGCTTAACAGAGATTCCTCTTTTGTTACTTGTAAACATTTGGGACTGTTGCCACATTCAAAGACTAAAAATAAATTAAGGAGCTGTATTATTCAATTTTTGGAATGCCTGGATTATATTAATTCTTTTTAAAAAAAATCTTAAAAAATTCAAACATCACAATACAATCGTGTTTATTTACCAGGCTTCTGAAGTTATAAAGGACAATTCTACCATGGAAAAGTCAATTCAATATTTGGTTAAGAGTAAAATAAAGCAAGAGACAATAGGACCTATTATTTGTTAGATAAAGAACCAGGAAAACTGTGTAGTTTCTACAGTGTTTTCTGTTGTTTTGTACTTTCTGTAGTTACGTTTAGAACCAGTTTTTAGGTTTTGTTTTTATCAATATTTAATGAAGCTGTTGCAGAGTTTGTGTATGCAACATAAAACAACAGGAGGATTGTAACTTTTATGAAACTCATGAATGGGATATGTGAGTTCTCTCCAGCAGAAAGTACCCAGCAGCTCCAGGGATATCCAGGATATCAGGTAGTGACACAGCTTTGGAGTGTTGATTAAGGACCTTCGAGCTCAGACACCTCATCTGTGCTCAGCCCTATGAACTGTCCATGTGCATCAACCTGCTTAGACTTGCACAAAAATTCCAAACTAGAAAAGACTCTAACTGAAAAGTAACTTCTAATGAGATTTTTTATTACAAAAAATAGTTACCAATTCTTGAGTACTTTTCAGCATTAGGAGTGCAATCCAAGACTGCCATAGGAGCCGCCAACGTCATTGTTACCTGCAACTGTTGTACTTAATTTGGAAGGTGAGGGACAAAACACAACAGAGAAGCTTGAGATTGTGTCAAAGTGGAGAAAATGTATTTCAACTTATGCCCATTTATAAATAAAACACAATGGATTATTAACATTAAACAGAGTAATAATTAAAGCAGAACAAAACTTCTAAAGAATATAATCAATCTAAAACTTTAAAATGCTGACTTTGGCAAAGTGTTCTTGATTTAATGATGGTAGATGAGGAGTCTCCTGCACTTCAAAGGGTGTGCTCTGAGAATTCACTGCGTCACTGCCTCAGCCACGCTGGATCTCCCTCCTATTGCTCCTGTCCTTTGGGAGCACCTCAGATTCCTTTGGTCTGTATTGCAGGTGCCTTCACGAAGGTGTTTGCACAGATTGCCTCTTCTTATTTGTGAGAAGGCTCACAAATACAAGTGTTCTCTTCCCTAAAGCTGGATCAAGCTGAGTTTCTGCTCATCAAACGGTTTTATTTACCTGTTGTAATTACCAGGAGTGCTTTCAATTAATGTTACCTTCAGTTTTCCATATCTAAAAAGGATAGAAATTTAACTGGTTACTGATGTTTATGGTTATTTTTTTGCCTAATCAAGTTTTAAATGGTCATTTTAGTGCACCTGGGTAAAACTGACCTTAAAAAGTAACTTGGCTATCTCTTTTCTGTGTGAGGAATTTTTTTTTTTTTTATTAAAGCTGATCATTCTTGAAATGCCAGCAGTGAGATGCTAGTCACTGTTTGCATCTATAAACATCTTGTATTATCTCCAAATTCAACTTGATATATTTCACTTCAGGGTTTGCTTGCAAACATTAAAGACATAGTTTCTATTTAGTCTGTATCTTTTTTGTAAGTGCTGCTGCTGGGGACAATGGCCCAGGCTTTTGTTCTGAACCTGTAGAAACATTTGAGGAAAGACTGTTAGAGTTGATTCCCAGGATATTTTTTCTCTCCACTGAAAACACTAAACTACAACATTTTTTCTCTGGAGAGGAAAAACAAAGTGTTGAAACAAAGTTATAGAGTGTGGATTTTCTTATTATTTTAAAATATGTTTTATTAATCTTCTGTCATTTAGTCTGCATATAAGGAAAACTTGTAGAGGTGTTTTATTAAAGATATACTAAGAACAAAGGGTTATGATGAGATTTTTTGGGGTTATCTGCATTTTGTTGTGGAACTGTTGTTACAAGTGTCTTGTGGTTCAGTATTTTGGTTTTCAACTTTGATGTTAGTTTGGTGGATATTTAACTTGTATTCAGTTATGAGCAACACCAAGTTCAAGTGTTTGTATAACTTTGAGTTTGCAAACTTCTGTGTCTGTTGAGCACTGCTTCATTTATTTGACAGCAGTCAAAGTAATGTTTTGTGATAGGCTGTATGATATACAATGGAATGTTCTCTTATTATTTCAGTGTCTGTCAGGTCCTGCAAAGTGATTAGGAATTTAAACTTTTTGAATGAAGATTGAATATGAAGATTAAACCATGGCTCTGTGGAAATCATAATCTACTTTGAAAATCACACTTCGTTAGACAAAACCTTGTCATAGTGAAGAAAATTAAAACATATGTCAGTCAGGCATCTTCCTCTGAAAATTTCACTTTATTGTTGATTAATCCAACTGGATTGGAAAGGTTAAAGAGATTTATTAGAAGACAGGAATGATAGTTCACCCTGACATACTGGCAGTCTATTCCAAATCTAATTATCTAACTAAGTATTCCAACAGTGCAGTCAACAGTTCTACCTGTAACCAAGCCTTTTACTCTGATTTTGGGGTGGGCTCATATACACCTACAGATGATCTGTGTGAAATGACACAATCACGGGACATTTCTTGTGTTTGAGTTTTAGGCTGTTTTTTGTGACTGGTGAATCAAATTAGCGTTGGCCTTGGGTATTTGGCTTTATTTTTTTTTTCTTTCACTGTAGTGGCTTTTATTGTTGTTTTTTGTTGTTTGGTTTTTAAAAAAAATTACATTGTATTAACTACTTTTGCTTGGCTTTTATGAAAAAAATTGTATCTTATTTCAAAGCATATTTTGGTATAGTAATATGAAAATATTGGTCCAGTTAAAGGACACAAAGTAGGTGTCTTTACATTTTAGCAAGGAAACCATGGAAATTGGAAGTGACTGCAACTTTGCTGCAGTCTGGTTTGTTTTTCTGCAGATATTTCTTGAGAATCTTTTAAGAAAACTAATTGCAAATAATGCTGCAGTCAGACAGAGGTTCACATGCCCCAGGCTTTCCATTTCTTTTAGTCTGTGTTTGATGTTACTGAGCCCATTATGATCAAATTTATTTCACAGGTACTGTAGGAATACCCAGAATTTATCCTTACAGCTTTTCTTTCCTTTCCCTGTTTTCTCCTCAGACACCACAACGTATTCCACGGAGCGCTCGGAGCACTTTAAGCCATGCAAAGACAAGGACCTTGCATATTGTCTCAACGAAGGGGAATGCTTTGTGATCGAAACCCTAACGGGATCCCACAAACACTGCCGGTAAGTCCTCTGCCACAAAGTGCCAGAAAGGTCTTCTGTCTCAGGGAGGAGGCATTAAGAAAAAAAAAAAAAAACATTCACGTGTAGAATGTTGGAAAGCAGTGGAATTTTTTCCCTCCAATTTGATGGCATCCCTCGCAGATGGTGGGTTTTTTACTAGTCTGTGATAATCATATATAGAAATATTAGATACAAGAAGCAATATTTTGATCTTTCCATAGATTAGAAAAATCTTCACTATTCCATTTTCTAATAATCTAATTATTGTTTCATTTTTACTGTTCCATTTTGTTGGGTTTTTTGCATATGCAAGTCCTATATTCCCCTACATACCACAAGCCTTCCTTTATTTTGGGTACTCCAGCTAGAGCATTTGACAATAGCTGTATGTACTGTTTATTGAGAGAGAAGAAGGGCTAGTAGTTTTAAGTATTAGGGTTTCTTAACTTGAATTACTGAAAGATAACATGGACTATGATAGCTATCTGAACCTGCTCTATAGCTGTTGTACACTTTTATACCCCTGAACTTCTGCTATTTTGCAAGGCCATCTGAATGTATTGAAAAGGATATCAGAAAAGAAAGCCAGATCACTTATTATTTTTATTATTAGTTAGCCATAGAGACCAGTAAAAAGGAGTGATATGCCAAAGGAATACTGCATTATGTTCCTAAAGATGAGGATTTTAACACACATACCCACCAGACCCCCGATTATTTAAGCAATCTTTTATACAGAAGAACATATTTTCATTTTCGACTGCTTGTGACCTAATTTACTGTGTATGGCAGACATAACAAAAGGTCTATCTGAGACACTTGTATGCCCAAGTTCTAATCTGAACACCTAAATATGTGGCGAACTCTAGCATAAATAATAAAAAGTGTCAAGGACAGAAGATTTCCTGAAGGATTTGGGACTTCAGCTGCTAAATCCCCATAAAAGCAGAAAAAAAATATTTGCAAAATCTCATATGCCTGGATTGAAAATGGAAAATTATGAATTTAAAGATTAATGAAATTCTTCTCATCATCAAAAAAATATTTCCAAGATTTTGAATTTTTTATAAAATACTGGTGATTTTTTTTCCCATTCAGTTGTGTATGGCTCCATGACCGTTCATTTCCCTTCTTGTTTTTGTATGGAACACTTAAATATTATGATTCATTTGTTGTGGAAAATTTACATGTTTTTCTACTTCCATCATAATGCTACACAGATTTTGTTTTTTTTTTTTCTTAAAGCAGATGAGGTTTTTTGGTATTTCTTAGAAATGTCATGAGCTGTTAAGGGAATTATATCACTCCATTATTTGTTTCTCATAGAGTATTCAAACTGAACAAAAATTCTATAACATAGCAGACAAAAATGGATGTATACGAGAATTTTTAAATTGGCTGATAAATTTAGTAGCTAACCTCTTTAAACAGACTGGTTTTGTAAACATTTTAAAAAATTGGCAGGAGATATATCTTGAGAACTGAATTTCTTTTTTGTTTTGTTTTTGTTGGTTGGCTTTTTTGACTTTCAAGATCTTACCTACATCTTTGCCAAATTCTCATTTATTTCCTGTGATTCTGATATTACAGCCTGGCTAATGGTTAGAAGTTTTCCAACCAAGCTTTCCCCTGTTAACTCAACAAGCCAAAATGTTGACTTTTTATTCTTTCCAGCAGAGTTAAATTTTTTCATCACCTTCCCTGTGTTATTCTTCCATAGGGAAGCAGCAGTATCTCTGGGGGTCCCCTGTGTGTGAGGTTTGTGTTGCCTGTACAAGTTCCAGGCAGTGGCACATTCTCTTGGAATTAAACATCTTTTTTATGGTGGGTACTTTGAATGGTGCAACACCAAAAGACCCATATAAGGCAACAATTTTCGAATAGCAAAAGAAGATACATTTTAAAATTTAAAGGGTGATTAGTTGTAGTACTTTGTTTAGTTTTATAAGGACCTTGAACACTGCAAGCAACAATTTGTTCAGAATCACTTTTATACTGATAGGTTTGCCATTAATGGAGAGAAACATTTAAATTTGACCCCTAAATGCTGTATCCCTAGCTGGGTAGACTGAGTGTGTCTTTGTTAGAGTCAGTGCTGTAATGAGTGGGGTGCAGGTGTTTTTCTGTCTGTAGCCTGTAACAGTGCTCAGAAATAACAGCTAGAATGTACCCATATAAAAAAATACAATACTGATACACTGTAATTGTCCTCTAACTAGTAAAAAATCAATTTTTTAAATGGAATTCCCACTTCAATCAAAAAGAATAATTTGAATACAGAATTATGAAGACTTAAAATGGTACTTTGTTCTTGGAATCAGGCTGCATTGTATATTCTCCCTGAGAGTGATTTTGCATCTGTTCTGGAAGCAGAGCACCAATTTACTGAAATGGGAATTTGCCATGTGGACCAGCTGCAGACAGAGGACCTTGGATGAGCAAAAAACTTTTATCCCACTTGGTCGGGTTTGAAGGGTATTAGTAGATTATATTCTTAGAGAGTTGAGCAGTTCTTGCTGTGTGTGCATGTCTAAGGATAAATATGCTTATTATAAAGGTACAGAGAGAGATTTGGTAGCAATTAATAAATATTTGAGTTACACTTTGGGCCCCTTCTGTATCTTCCTGACCCATCCTGGCAATGCCAGCAGGCTCACCTGGCAGCTCAAGCACCTCGCAGAGTTCACAAACTCCGTGGTGCTGTTGTTGGAAGGTTGGCATGTGCTCCTTCTGTCTCCAGCTGTCACGTTGGCACTGGGATGTCATAGAGAGCTGGCTCTGGCTCCTTCCTGCTCTGGGGGATTCCTGCTTTGAACCCACAACCGTGGGGACTGGGACCAAGGTGCGCCCTTGGCCAAGGGCAGGGAGGAGGCTATGTTACAGGAGCCACTGGGAGCATCGGAGATGAGATCAGAAGCAGCCCTCATCATGGATCTTCCATTCCTGTTCATCTACAGATGAGTGTCCTGAAGAAACAGGAATTTAATTTTTTTTTAGATTTAATTCCTTTTAATCGAAATTTAATTCAAATTCTGTAATTTAATTTCTTATTCAAACTTCTGCATTTTACTCTCTATCTCTTGGTGAAAAATTGCCTGGGATGTAAACTGGCAAGAGTTCTCCTGCGTGGTTAGGTAACAAACAAGATCCACTGGATGTTTTGTGCTATTTTAAAGCTGTGACTTCAGGGTTTATTTTTGTGAATGGTTTAACATGAGCTTGTTTTAAGGATAGGCTAGGTCATCAGCAGGGAAACTTCATATTTAGCGTCTCCATATGCTTAAATTTTTCAATGTTGCCACCTTGAGAATTTGAG